CTCCTAGTCCCTGCAAACAGGCTCAACAGGATTACATACTTGCAACACTAGGTTCTTGTCATTTTCATAGCGACTCAAAGATTGACTATATTGCAAACATTTCAAAAGTTTCAGAGAAGTATAGCCAAAGATTTCATGGAGTATTTTAGTTTTGGCCTAGGGGGTACAAAGTTGCATCGCTTACTTCTTTAATCTCTTTACCGATCATTTTTTCAAGGAAATGTAGAGAAAAAAAAACAACCAATGACAATGCAAAATAAAGGCACAAAATGGAAGAAATTATAAGAATAACTAAAAAAACAACACACTTGGACAACAAGTCAGCAAACCAAGTGTGACAATTAGAAGGCACAAAGAGGGAGGAAGCACAAAGAGCAAACAAAGCGAAAAATGAGTGATAAGGTTAAAGTGATGTAAAGGACGAATCGTGGAAGAAATAAGCCTAAGAGGAGGAAGATGAAGGGGCGGGCACATGCATGATGTGATTGGATGTGACGTTCCATCAGTAATAACATGTCGTGCATTTTCTCGTCAAAAAGGAGCGATGTTTGAGTCACCCTATAATAAAAAAAGTGACAACCGATCTATGGGGGAAGTTTGAGTCATGTCTTCGCCTTGTTGCCGACCAATTGGATGGGACGACAAAATTTTTTTTTTTACTCAATTAAAGCCTCAATGTTTGATACTTGAGCTGAGGGGTTGTATAGTATTCAAATAAATTATCTCGTTGTGTAACTAGCCCAAGAGGTCGATCACGACACGATCTTCTCCCATAAGGATGTAATTCTTCAAATTCTGTCTAATATCACACCTGTCATTAGAAAATATGCATAATGAATAATAATCGAATATAGGATATTAATTAGGGAATCCGAATCTAAATTGAATAACCCATTAAAAAGGGACGAAGGTTAAAAGATAGGCAAATTCACTTGACAAAAATCATAAATAATTAAAATATGAGAATTTCTGGATATACTATAATTAGGATTAAACATAAATTATTAAATAGTTGTTGATGAAGACTTAAATTAATAGAAATTAGAATAATCAAATTGATTATTTTCAAGAAAAAGTAGTTTTTAAACGTTCAATATTATGATTATTACATGAAAATAAGATGAAGGTAAGGGATTCAACTTTCATGTTCTATCTTATGCTATATAACCATTGCTACCACTAGTATAAAATGAGGTTTTTACGTCTGTTATTTTTGTTTTTTTACGCCAGAAACAAGTTCGAAATTAATACGGGAGACGCAAAATTTACATCGGGCATAATCATCGACACAAATTTATGTTGGACGAGGGGCATACTTGACGTAAATTTTATCTTCTTCTTTTTTGTCTTACAACGAGTCCAAATTTCAATAGACAATAATTCAAAAATACAACAATACAATATAATATAAAGACTAAACTAATTAAAAGGTAAGGTAAACATTACAAACTAAACTAAAATAAAGTCTAAACTAATACAAAAACTAAACTACTTAAACGTTAAACTACATAATACAATACAAATAACCTACAAACTAAGTAATAGAAATGTTGAACGAAAAAACTTACTGCTCATTGTTATCTAATTTGTGTAATATCATGTTTTGATAGTGGAGATGGATGAATATTGAAATACCTGAAACATTAATTTGACTCCAGTTAAAATGCAATACACATAAAGGTAAATGAACTTAACAAATGTTGAAAGCAATTACCTCCGTCAAAGAATCAGTTATACATGTACAAACGTTTGTCTATTATATGTGCTTAGGAGCATATTTTGGAAAAATTGTTGGGACAAATTCCTTTTGGGGATTTGTCCCCTCTTCTTCCCTTTTTTTCTCTTTTTTTGATATGGTATGCGTTCAAATCCGACATTGAAGTCAGAACTTATTTTACTTCAAACATTTTTTATTTTTTTTCATCATAAAACTCTAAACCCCCTATATATTGTAATATACAAACTACAACAACAAAAATCGTAGGATTTAAACGTATAAACGAATAATCACAAATTACAACAATTCAATTTCAATAACAATCAAGTGAAGATATTCAACATAAAAGAGGAGACGAGACACATAAAATACTAATACTAACCTCAAATATACAAAAAATGCAATCGGAGAGAAATGTCAACTACCACAAATGGGACACAATAAAAGTGTTTTCATCACTCACTGTAGTCGAAATGTACCTTGAGAGGAACTGGTTTGATCATTGTCATCATCGTCACTCGAAAACCGTTGTGTGCAAAGGAAAAAAAAAAGTTTTAGGACGATTAAAACACTATTTTTAGTGTCAAACCTCATAAAAGATCGACTTAAAAGCTGTTTTTTACATTGATTAGGGAGTCACCCAATGTAAAAAGTAGTTTTTACTTGGTCTCTAAGAAATTTATTTTGCAATGTACCTGTATAAATTACTACTGATTGAGCGCCGACAAGCATCAATTTTCTTAATCTTTTTCTTTGCCTTTGCAACCGGCTTATTTACCTGTTTGTCACGTTCCAGGCATGAAGAATTGATGCTTTCTTGTTGGAGATTGCTTGCATATGATAAAATCAAGACACAGGACTTTGCCATGGTGACATGTTTTAACAAGAGCAGATAAGGAAGTAGTTGCAATTTTCCTATGCCAATAATAGCTCATCATCACAACGTTAAAATTTTCTGAAGAGATAAAACTTTCTATTGCCCCTTTTCAATTTTCTAATCTTCTCAGAAGAAAATAAGTCCCTTCCAATAATTCTTTAGCTGGCTTTCCGGTTGAGTTATCAACCAAATCCACTGCATTAAGTCCAGATTCTTCATGACGTGCCAGTCCATAGAGAAAAGTTGTGTAGAAGGAATCTTGATTTTGCATGCCTTGGAAGGAATGGATGTGTATTGTCTCGATGCACATCCTCAATCCACGAGAGCATATATACATAACAAGAAAAGTTTATCATAACAAATTTCATAAACATTTGTTAACATTAACATACCCTTACTTTTTTTGTTGTTGAAATATGTAAACAAACAACTTTATATACATTTTAAGATCATTTCTGATTATAACTTTCTAACATCTTTTAATTAGAAAATGGGTGTATATCTTTTTCAAATATTAAACATTTCTGTGTATCTTTTTCAAAGACTTTGAACTTTTGACTGTTGTAGGGCATTGCTAATCATTCATGGAGCATCTCATGGAGTAGCTTTTTTTGGCAAAGGCAGGGTTGGAATCTACACGATGGATAGAATTTGTGGGACATCAAATAGTGAAGCCACTTTGGATGGTGGGGTCCTTTAGGGCGGTGCTGATAATATTATCAGTTAGGATAAACCAACTTCCACCAGCTACCTCAAAAATTCATCAGTTTGGAATCAACCAAAAAGATGTTCAATTACAGCAGATATGTGTGCGTGTGTGAATGGATGTTCAAATAAGATGGTTGCTGATAAAAAGGTTTACTTTTATGTCTCTTTTGGAACACTTTTTTCCTTCTTTTAGGGTGTATTTGTATAATTAATTTTTAATTAAATTAATTTATATTTGACTATTTTTATCATAAAAACAAGTTATAAGTGAGATTTAGTATAAAAAAATTGAACATAAAAGTTATTTAACGCTTGAACTTAAAATTAACCCTAAACTAAAAATCAGTGAAATTAAATATATGAACATGTATTTAAATTAATTAATTACTTGAGAATAGATATAAGGGGACGGTTGGCATGTTCAGCATGAAACAAACAAACCCCGAAATAATTTAAGGAATCACTAATAAAAGAAAAATGATTGTTCAAATATTCTTATTTTTCTTTACATATACACCACCAAAATTATTTGGACGAAACCGAGCCACATGCAACATAAATTTGCTCTATGATGTATAAGAATTAATATAATTTAAAAACTATACTGATGATATATTAGAATTCATACACCTTGTATAGAATATAAATAAAGAATTAATTCATACAGCTATAAAAAAAATCATATGAATTAAAAGTTATAAATTAAAATTATATTAACGTATAATAATTAATATATATTAAAAAAATATTATCTTTAATGAACCAACATTATTTTACATACTATAATTTAAATATTAAAACAAGAGTAATTAAAATGAATTTAAAAAGAGCAAAGTGTCTTCATTATTATACTATAGATATTAATTTATAAGTAACGATGGAAAGACAATAATAAATGTCTGATTTTACAATGGCTCATAAGTTTCATGTAATTTTCATAAAATTAGAAAATTCTAAGAAAAAAATATTTGGAAAAAAAATGAAAAAAAAAAAAAGGGAAAGAAAGAAGATGAGAGAGGAGGAGGAGGAGGAAACATAAAAGGAGAATTTGTGTCGGAGAGTAGGCGCCAATGTCCTAATCCATAACCATTAGGACGGCCCTTTCTGCTAGGGTTTCTCATGTCAACAAAATTTCTATCATCGCATTGTAATATAGAATGCACAAAAACTTGTTGATCAACTTCATAGTATAACTTACAATTATTATTAGCACAAGATTGTTGTTTTCACATTCTCCAATGTTTCATTTTCAACAAGAACATGATCTATCTGCATTGATCTGATAGCCCATGTTTTCTCTGTTCTTGAATCCTTATCACATAAAAAAAAAATACAGAAGATCATATCTTAAATTTTTTTTAATTGCATTGAATATGATCAATCTATCATGAATGTTTTGCATTTAATATTATTATAACCATCTAACTTTTTGTTTTGTTATCCAATTTAATCACAAATTGGAAATTTTGGAGAAGATAGAAAGAGATGGTTTTTGTTTTGGTTCATTATGTCTGATCCTACAATTGTGGAAGTTACAACATATTTGGTTTGGAATTTTTGTGAACAAGCCAGTGATCATCATAACGGATTAATATTGTATGATGAAAAACGATGATGATCACGAAGACAATAGAAACCTACATTCTCGTTGGTGGGTGGTCTTGATGTAATATGAAGAACAAGATGAGGCAGTTCACAATGGGAATTCAACAATATATGGGTATCATAAAGGTTATCTTTTGCGTCATTTCGGTTTTTCAAATTTTGGCCGTAATCAGCAATGAAGAGAAGAAAACTCAGGAAGAATTAATTAGCCAACTCTTTGATCCTACATCTGGGCTTTTAAATGAGGATACGGTAAGAGTCATTTAATTAGTTCATTATTATTATTATTGTTGTTGTTGTTATGTATTCGTATTTGCCATATTAGAAAGCACATGATATTTAAATGGATTCTAAAATTGGTTATAGTTTCATGGCTGCAGGCAGAGGTACTGAGGATCGTATGTTGGGAAGAGTTGATTCGATTAAAGAAAGAAGCTGGGGATTTTGACTTATGCCTCTCAAAGGAATCTGATAGAAACACCAATGAATTTAGTTCAGAAATTGGCTCAGTAGCTAGAGAAAACATCAAAAAAATGATTAATGCATGTGATCCTCAATTAAAGGAAAATGTTCTTAACTGTATGAGAAAAAATAATTTCCCATTCCATAATCTCAAGGAAGAGGATATCTCCAAGATTTGGCAAGCAATATACCTGGGATCATTTCCATCTAGAAGATATTTGGGTCAAATTTTTCCCCAACACCACGTATCAGACACACCAAGCAAGGGACATGAATTACATACAAGTATTAAAGCTCAAAACTCTAATAGCAAGAACGCTAACTCTTCAAGCTCTGGAACTAGTATAGCAATACCAATAGTGGGAGTACTTTTAGTTGCAATATTGATCTTTTTATGTTATCGATTTTGTGGGAGTGGACAAGTTAGTCAAAATGATGAGAGACCCCTTCTCAGCATGAGCATGAATGACTACTCAGTTGGTAATACAAAATTTTCATTCTCTAACACCTTTTTAGAATGATATACACCTACAATCACTAATCTTATACTTCATCCTTATAGGTTCTTCTTCCAATAATAATATCTTGTACAAAAATTCAATAAAAGAAGGACAAATTGAGATCCACTCATCAAGTATTCAATTGGGTGATGAGCCAAGGAACTCAGTGCATGAAGCTCAGTTAGGAAAAGTTGCTAGTGGTTGTGCAAGACCATCAATGGAGCTAAAACCTCCTCCTGGGAGAGCAGTAGTAAATGGAATGATTCCTTTAAAACCTCCTCCTGGAAGGCCTGATCTTCTTCCTCCTGAACCAATTAAGCCTCCTGAACCAATTAATCCTCATGATAATCCCATTGTTCCTTCTTCTTCTCCTCCTCCTTCCTCTCCCCATTCCCCTTCTCCTGCCCCTTCTCCTTCCCCTTCTGCTCCTCCCCCTCCTCCTCCTCCTCGTACACCAGCAAGGCCTACCAATGCTGGCCCTCCCCCTCCTCCACCTCCTAGGGGTGGCCCTAGAGGACCACCTCCTCCTCCCGGCAAAGGTCCTCGACCTCCACCACCACCACCACTAAAGGGTGGTGGTGCTGGTAAACCTTCTCCACCACCCCCTAGAAATGGTCGAGGTCCTCCAAGAGCTCCTCCTGGTCCAGGGGAAGAAGACGGCTATGGAGAAGGTTATGTTCCAAAAGCTAAGTTAAAGCCTTTTTTTTGGGATAAGGTTCAAGCTAACTCCGATCAAGCAATGGTATGGAATCAACTCAAAGCAGGATCATTCCAGTGAGTAGTAATGCGTATCTCGGACTTCTTTTCTAGCTTGCAAAGTATAATATGTTTTTACTGTTGATATGTTTAATGGTTAATATTTCATAGGTTTAATGAAGAAATGATTGAGACACTTTTTGGCTATAATGCTGCTGCCAATGCGGATAAAGGCAAAAGCCAACCAAAAAAAGAAGCTGCCTCCCAAGCAGCTACTCCCCAATATATACAAATCGTTAACGCAAAGAAAGCTCAAAATTTATCTATTCTATTAAAAGCATTGAGTGTAACATCAGAAGAAGTTTGTGATGCACTTCTTGAAGGTGATTATGTTATCATTTCATATCTTTTTTCTACAACTCTTTATAATTATAATACTAATACTAGATTTGGCTTTTAAAAATACAAATCACTTATTTGTTAAGTTTGTTTGATAGATTTGAATATATATAGCAAGGATAATATTACTCACAAATGTAAAACAAAAGTAATTGAATTGATTATACTTTGTATGATAGCTTTGAATTCATCTTTGGTTGATCAGGAAATGAGCTTCCCACAGAATTCCTTCAAACTTTGTTGAAGATGGCACCAACTTTGGAGGAAGAAAATAAGCTTCTACTTTTCAATGGTAATGTTGCCCAACTCACCCCAGCAGATAGATTCCTAAAAGCCCTAGTTGACATTCCCTATGCTTTTAAACGAATGGAAGCACTAATTTACATGGGTACTTTTCATGAGGATCTAAATAATACTCGAGATTCGTTTGCAATTTTGGAGGTATGATTTCTATATCACATTACTATTTTCTCCTTCACTGGATTTTTGCTTGATTATACTTTTTATAATAGAATATGATCCTGATACCTAAGAAATAGAGATCTAATTTTCCTTTCACTTTTTCATATGATGGTAGGCCGCTTGTAAAAAGCTAAGAAGCAGTCGATTATTCCTCAAGCTTCTTGAAGCTGTTCTCAAAACTGGTAACCGTATGAATGATGGAACATTTCGTGGTGGTGCACAAGCATTCAAACTAGACACACTACTGAAATTATCTGATGTAAAAGGAGTAGATGGAAAGACCACATTGTTGCATTTTGTTGTTCAAGAGATAGTGCGCACTGAGGGCATAAGAGCTGCACGCATGGCAAAAGAGAACCATAGTTTCTCTAGTATAAAAACAGAAGACCTTCTTGAGGACATCTCTTGTGAATCAGATGAACATTATCGTGAACTTGGCCTTCAAGTTATTTCACATTTAAGCACTGAACTTGAGAATGTAAAGAAAGCAGCAGCTTTAGATGCTGATGGCTTAACAGGAACAACTGCAAGAATAGGGCATGGTCTCATAAAAACAAGAGACTTTGTAAACAAAGACCTGAGCAACATGAAGGATGATAAAGGGTTTCATGAGACTGTGAAGAGTTTCGTGGACAAAGCTGAGGATGATGCTAAAAGTTTGCTAGAAGAAGAGAAGAAAATTATGGCTCTAGTGAAGAGCACTGGTGATTACTTTCATGGGGATTCAGGGAAGGATGAAGGGTTGAGATTATTTATAATAGTACGTGATTTCTTGCTAATGTTGGATAAGGTGTGCAAGGAGATAAAAATTGCTGCACCAAAGAAGCCACCAGCAAAAAATCCAAAGCAAGAAACATCTAATCATTCTAGAAAACCTTCTTCCTCTGATTCACTTCCTCCTTCTCATGATTTACTTCGTCAGAAAATTTCTCCAGTAATCGCAAATAGGAGGACAGATGACTTTAGTTCAGATGATGAGAGTCCTTAGGTTTAAGTTGGAAGTGGTACTTGTAAAACTCACGTTTACTTTGGCCATGTCCTTGTTGTATAGCCTTAATATTGTATTAGAGTCATCACTTGCTTATACTTGCCTAATTTTGAAGGGAAGATATTGTCTTTTTGATCATTTAAATATAGAGTCATGGTTTTCTCAACATTCCTTTTGCAGAGAGTGCATGATTAGAGGTTAGAGGATGCATGTGGAGTCATTTCTTTTCCATTCGTTCATTCAATTTATCTACTCCATGAGTTCACATGGTTGTTTCACTATGACATGCTAGTACAAGCTGCTGAAATGAACAATAATTTGTTAAAGATTTTAGTGGTAATTAGCCAAACATTTGTGTGTATAAGGGACTATATTGAACAAAATCAAATGCTAAGATAGAGATACAAGAAGAGGGTGAGAAAGGCAAGCAAGAAGAGTCCACTCTTGGAACCACTTGAGGAGAGATGTTTGATGTGGAGAACAAGATTTGGTGTAATTAAAGTGGAGACAAGTGTGAAGAACATCAAGAACATATGCTTTTATAAGATGAATGCTCATAATTATAAAAAGGGAGGAAGAAGAAAGGAAAGAGGAGTCAGAAGGATCTAGAAAAGGATTTAGAATAAATAATAATAAAATAACATGATTTAATTGTCTTCAAATGAATACTACGTTTGGATTAGAATAAGAAAGAAATACTTAAATCTATGGTACAAGTACAAAGAAAGAAGTTATTTTGAGTTCACTAAACTCAAACGTTAGATTTATCACTATAAATTAGAAGAAAATAAGACCAAACTCATGGAAAAGAAAATGGTCGATTAAGGTAAATCACGTCACCCCCATCCCCTAAACTATTTGTTGAAAGTCCCACATCGCCTACCTCATATCATTTGGTATGGTTTAAATACATGTTAGGCTACTCCACATATTGCCAATTGGTTTTATGTTGGAACCTTAACATGGTATCAGAGCCAAAACCTAACATCTTTCCGGTTATTGTCAAGGGCCAAAAGTTGCCCTTTAGTTGGGTTAAAAGTACTCTTTACCTGGTCCTGCAGGCTTCGTTGGAGGGTGTGTTGAAAGTCCCACATCGCCTACCTCATATCATTTGGTATGGTTTAAATACATGTACGGCTACTCCACATATTGCCAATTGGTTTTATGTTAGAACCTTAACACTATTGAAGAACTTATGAAAGGTACATTGATATTTACTATGAGAAAATAAAGATTATATATATATATATATATATATATATATATATATATATAAAGTGAGGTACAAATTTTATTTATAATATTATTTATTAATTGTTGTTGGAATGTATCACTCATAATGAATCTAACATTGGACCATTTATATTTTCCATTTTGGGGATGTTTTGAAATTTTCTCAATGTAAAAGAATGGGATGAAATTCTCATAAATTAGTTTTGTAGCCTAGAATTAGACATTTCTTTATTTTTAATATTATTTAAAATTATTATTATTATTATTATAAAAAATTATATTCATTTTAGCTCAAGAACAATCTTAGTTTCTATGTATCAATAGAATATTGGAGTTAGTAATAATACCCAATCAAATATTTAAAAATATATATTTCATTTTAATTAAAATACTCAATCAAATTAATAAACTTTCTATTTTATTAAATTTAAAGGTTTTAATTAAAATTAAGTTATACAAAACTATCAATATAAGTTTAAAGTAAATTTGTTGACGCAAATAAAAAATATTAAGATATCACAATCTTTATTTAGAATGTTAAATCATATCATGACAAAATACATTTGATAAATTTTTATATATTAATTACAAAAATTGTAAAAAATAAAAATAAGAGAGAGAGAGAGGGAGGGAGAGAGATTAAAGCATGTGAAATGAGAATTGTTCAAAAAAATTATCAAGATATTTAAATTTATAAAACTAAAATTAAAAAAAGTACAAGTGTAGATGAAAAGAGAAATATAACATTATTGAAAAAATAAACATTACATACACATTTATGTATATTTTAAGTTGATATTTCAAAATTCAAACAATAATTACCTCAATATTAATTTATAAAAAGTAAATAATGTTTAAAACTTAGGGAACATCGTCATAAACCATGTATCACATTTATGTAATTTTATTTTTCTAATGTGATTTGATTTAGACTTAAAATTTAATTTCTAATAAATTTATTGAATAAAAAGTTTAGTCATGCATTAGAAAGCTGGCAATATTGAAGGTGACATTGTCAAGATTTCTATCAAACGGGAAGAAAAAAAGACCCGTTATAAAGATAATAAAAAAAATCAAATATATGGTTTAGATTATCATTTACTTATCCCAGATAAGCCATCTCTAGCTCGAAGAAGATTTCAATTTAAACTATTTTTATTATAAATTTTATGAACCAACCGAATTCTCTCTGTCTAAATTTAAAATAAAAATAAAACAGAGAGTAGAACTGACCACACCTTTAAAACAAAATTGGATATCATTGAAACATTCAAACACTAAAGCAATAGTATCACAAAAACCAGAGCATCTCTGTTAAAATGTTTTAACATACTTTGAAAATCACACAAGAAGGTTTTTATGTTTCAAACCCTTGAATTATGTAACATCCTTCAAATGAAACAATCGAGTGTTAATCACAATTTCAATGACCCTAAGTAACCATAGCACTTACAAAACCAAAAACACAACCACAAAACACAAAAACGCAACGTGAAAAACAACAAATCACTTCAAATCATGTTTTATAAATAACAACTATGTATCAAATTCTAGAACAAAACAAAAACAGAACGTACAAAAATGACCTAAAATTTCACCCATATTTCTTGAGGTAAGAGCATTTTCTATGAACATCATTAACTGAAACCCTAACTACGGCTAGAAATTACAACCATCAAAACTACGAAACAGTTGGTCAAAATAGAATAAAATTAAATAACTCTTCGTGAAAAGGAAGGAATATTAAGAGTCATTGTCAGCTCCAGCACTCTTGGAGGATGCCCCAGCCTTCTTGGGAAGCAGAAGATTGTGAATATTAGGCATAACACCACCGTTAGCAATGGTAACATCACCTAGAAGTTTGCTTAGCTCTTCGTCGTTCCTCACTGCCAATTGAATATGGCGAGGTACAATTCGGGTTTTCTTGTTATCTCTCGCGGCATTTCCAGCCAATTCAAGAACCTAAAAACATCAAACTCCACACCTTCAGTTGAAGCCAACGGAAACAGTGTCGAAACATTTAATTATTTGAAAACATATATTTATCCCATTAATTTATCAAAATTATCCTAATTGAAAGTCAAAACCCTAAATCTAACCACATCGAGCCATAATTTATATCTAGAATTCAACAACCACAAGGAATTACCTCAGCGGCGAGATATTCAAGGACAGCCGCGAGGTAGACAGGAGCACCGGCACCTACACGCTCGGCATATTTCCCGGCCTTGAGAAACCTGGCTATACGGCCGACAGGAAATTGGAGACCAGCTTTGCTGCTCCTGGAGGTTGACTTCTTGGAAGCACTGGAACCCAGGGTTTTGCCTCGTCCTGCCATCGATGAACTGTAACGTAGTTGCCAAAGGAGAAAATTCAAGATGTGAGAGGAGTTTGTAGAAGCAAGTTCGTGGGTGAGGAAATGCGAAAGCTTACCAGAAGCTGAAATGATTTTAGCGGTTACGACGTTTATATAGTAGGGTGCTTGGAAATTGGACCAATGACACTGAAGCACGCGGATCCATGAGGCATACCGTTAGATTGCATTATTACGGACGATTCAGATTAGTGTCTTGTTAGTTTAAAAAGGTAGACGTGAATTCATGTAAATAATTCATGTATTAAAACAAAATAATATTTTAATAAATAAAAAATCTCCAAATTAAAGACACGTAAGATTTATTCTTCAAAAAAAAAATTATTAATAATAATAAAATATTTTGTTGAATGAATAAAATAATATATTTAAATATACTTTTAGTACTCCTATTCTAGCTATTATAAATTTTGATTACCACGAATTCTTAATTTAGATTTATGGTTTCTTTATTATTATTATCTTTCTTAAAACATTTTTTAATATTTTAGTTTTCAAAAATTATAGTAATTTTTAAATTTTTAAATTCGGTTTATTTTCATTTAATTTTAAAAAATCAAATCAAATTTTTTTAATTTAGTCTAGATTTTTTTTAAAATCTTTCATTATAAAATGGTTAAAATTAAATATATTATAATAAAATAAATGTTGAATAAATAAACTTATGTATATTTAATTGTGATATTCATAGTTTAAATTTTTTTTATGTTTTTATATCCAATTTAAAAATTAATAACACATATTTTATATAAATTATAAGAAACTAATTGAGTCATTTAAATATCATCTTATGTTTTAATTTTAATAATATACATTATAATTTCAATTTAGTTTGATTTTGATTGGTTCTTGAATATCAAACTAAAAATTAAACTGAATCAATCAGTTTTAAATTTAAAAATAATATATATATATATATATATATATATATATATATATATATGTCGAATTTTTAGTTTTTGGATCAATTTTTTGTTTAATTTTTTTAATTAGTTCAATTTTGAATATCTACAGTTTTTAATCATCACAAAGTTACAAAAATTAAAAAACAGGAGTATGATGAAAATTTTATTTTAATAAAGGGGTATGAAAAAAATTATCCTTGGCAGTGAGGGATATGTATTTTTACTAAACCATTGAATTAGATATGTCAATTTTTCCTAAATAAAATAAAATATCTTCTTCATACTCAATAAAAAAACTATAATTAGACGTAATTATTAAAAAAAATATTGATAAAAAAGTTATAATCAAACAATTTTTATTTATTTCTAAAACTATTCTTGAAAACAACTTTATTAACACGAGTTTTTCAATTTCTCATTTTTAAAATAGTTTTTTTAACTATAACTGTCAAATAATTTTTTTCTATTTTTTCTTAAAAGCAGATTTTTTTAAACTAAATTAAATAAACTGTGAGTCTTTCAAGTTTTAAAAAACTAAATAATTTTAATCTAATTGATATATTATTTAATTATTCAATATATTAACAAGTAAATAAGTTATCTAATTTATAAATAGTATCTTACATAGATAAATCATTAACATTATTATTATTATTATTATTATTATTATTATTATTATTGATAATGTGTATGTTTATTATTATTATTATTTTAATTTATTAAATTTAAATGTATATATTAATTTTAAAATATAAATATTTATTTGTAAAATTATGAATTATTAAAAATAAATAAACACGACACAATGACATAAAGAAAAAATGAATATTAAAAATAATATATTTAAAAAAATAGTCAAATAAAATGTATATAAATTTATTTATCAAAATAAACATATTTACGGATTATACGTAAATTGTTTCTTTTCATATATATATATATATATATATACATATTTCATCCATTTCTTGTCTTTTTCTTTTTATGATATGTCTTTTATTTTTCTCTTTCATCTCCTACTTATTTTCTTAATTAAACTGTCATATTAAAATTTCATAAAAATATTTTAAAAACAATCTTAAACCTAAAAAAATATTAATTAAATATTAAAAAATTATAATGACAATAAATAATTTTATTTATTTTAGTAATAAATAAATTTATTTATGATCATGTAAATAATTAATTTTAAATTATTTTATCATAATAAATAATTACTCTGTTAATTAAAAAATATATTAAATATATATAATTTAAATATATTTTATTTAATAATTTAATCTAATTATAATTAGGTTTAATTATGATAATTAGTTAGATTAGATATTATTAAAAAAATATTTTAAAATAAATATTTATTTATTTTTTAATAATTATAACATAATAATAATATTTGTGAAATCTAAATTTATAATATTTTTTTATATAATATATTAAATTACAGTATGTCTGGATTATTTAAATATTATTATTTTTTAATAATAATAAAATATTAATGTTATCAGATTTCAATCTATTATTTTTTAATTGAAGAATAAGATGGAGTGAAAGAATAAAAAAAGGAAAAAAGAGAAAAAATATATAAATAGAAAAAGAGACAAATAAGAAAATAAATGAAAAAAAAAATAAAGATAATTGTTTTGTGTCAAACAAATATATTTCGGTGCATTAGTAAATAAGTTTAGTTGGATAAATAAACTTAAATAAAAAGGTATAATTGGATAAATAAATTTAAAGAGATTCTATTTAAGTAAATTTGTTTTAAAATATATTATTTATAAAATTGATTCAAATAAAGAAAAAATGAATAAAATATATAATTGAAAAGATAAAAGAAAAAATATTTTATTTTTATTTTTATTTGAAGAATAAAGAATTTTTATACTTTATATTTTAGAGAAAAAAAGGTGAAAAAAAATTATGATAGGAATAAATAAAAGAAAAAATATAACATAAATATATTTTTTATTTTTTCATGAAAAAACGGTTATTTTTTTAATATATATATATATACCATTATAAAGTATTCAAGGTTTTTTTTAAGCATATATTATTATAAAATTTTATGACTAAGATTACATAATTTTAAGAATACATAACCAAAGTGAATTTAAACCTAATTTTTAACACATATATATTTATTTTAGTTAATTTTGAAATACAAAGAATAATAGTACACATTAATGATATTAATATATATTTATTTGATTTTATACCTTCATTTATGGGGTATGATACATTTATTTATTATCTTTTTATTTTTATTTTTAAATAAATACATCTTATAATCCACATCAACTTTTGCGATTGGTTGAAAATAAATATTTTTAAAAAAATATTATCGTATTTTATTTAAACAATAAAATATTTTGGCACCGTTGAATTTTAAAATAAATAGAGTAAAAATAAAAAATAAAAATGATTTATATTTTTAAATTGTTAATTGGATATAGAAAATAAAATAAGAAATGTTTATTATGAAATAAAATATAGCCGGAAAACATTTTTAATGAAAAATTTTATGAAGTTACTGAAAAGCATTTTTGTTATAATCAATGCATTTTATAACTGTTTAGTTTTTTTATCTGTCAAATAAAAATTATTTAAATGTAAGTTATTATTTAATGAGTAACTGAACTTTTTGTTATAACTGTCCTTCAAAATATTCAACGTCATAGATAACATTAATTTGTTTTTTTCTAACATTTGATATATTTTTTTAATTATTTTTATTTAACAGTTATTTTTGAAAATGATACTATTTTTTCCTATATTTAACTATTATATAATATGTGCCCTTAACATACATTAAGAGCATTAATGATTTATTTTTCACTTACACATTGGAAAAATATAAAATAATAAATATTTAAGAAAAAATATTTAATTAAATGAGAAGTATTTATTTTACAAAATAATATATATATACATATATTATCTTTCTACAATTTTTTATGTTTTTTCTAATTATTGTTTTTCTTTTCTTTTTTATCTTATATTTAGTATTTTTTTCTTTTTATTATTTTTTCCCTATGTTCTATAGAATTATAAGAAAATAATAATAAATTTATATTTATATTTATTATTTTAAGATGATTTTTAATTAAATTTTTTTTATTAACAGATGTCAGTTATTCCTTTTGTTTTGTTCTCATTAATTCAATTTAATGAAATTATTTTTTTTTTGTTTGAAAATTTGACTCCTTAATTTGTTGATAAAGTTCGAACTATAAAATTTGTGATGATTTTTGAAAGACGTTGATTATTTAAATATAGAAAATAAAAGGCATTTTAAAAATACAGCGAAAAAATTAGTCAAACAGATTAAAATTTATAGTTTTTATAAAAGATAAGCTAATATTACAATATATTCAAATAAAAAATACATATATATAAATATACAAATATTTCATTAAATTTTCCTTAGTTACTAAAAAACATTTTATTATAAAAAATGCATTTTATAACTGTTTAATAATTTATTTAAATGTAAGTTATTATTTAATGTATAACTGGAGTTATTGTTATAACTAATATATTATTGAAAAGTCATTCAAAATATTTAATGTTATATATAACATTAATTTGTCTTTTTTTTAATCATTCTTATTTAACTGTCATCTCTTAAAACAATATTAATTATTCTTATATCCAACTATTATATAAAATGCGTCTTTAATGTTAATAAGAGATTTTTTTTTCACTTACACATAAGAAAATGAAAAATAATAATTTATTAAGAAAAAGAAATTAAATACATAAATTAATAAAATTAAAATGTTAATTATTTTTATTTTCACTCACACAGAAAAAAATATAAAATAAGAAATGTTTTTTTTTGTCTTCCCATAGTTTTTTTTTAATTAGTTTTTTTCTCTTTTTATCTTGTATTTGTTATTCTTTTATATGATTTTGACATGTTTTAATCAAATTACATTGTTTTTAATTGTTTGTTATTCTTTTTATTAGAAAGTGTCAAAGGTTGTTTTTCGTTTTACTTTTATTATAATAATATAAGTGAATAAAATTCTTATATTTAGTTTTAAATATTAAATTATGATATTTTTACTCAACAGTATTATTTACTTCCTACCTATGAAATTTGTGATTATTTTAGAGAGGCGTTGATTGTTTAAATAAAGAAAATGACAAATTTTGAAGAAACAATAAATAACTAATGAGGCAAGTAAAAATTTATAGTTTTTGCTGCAAGAAGATAAATTACAATATTATGTTTAAATAAAAATTTCATAAATATAGATAATATTTAATCAAATATTAAAAAAGAAAAGAAAAAAAGAGATAGAGGGTAACCATAAATTATAAATATTTAAATTTTGTATTTTCATCCAAGTTTTTTATTATTAATATTATATTATTTTGATTAAAATTTCTTAAATTTTATTTTTAAATATATGTAATTATGAGAAGATAAAAATTACAAAACAGAAAAAAAAGAAATAAATAGAATAATAATAAAGTTGCTAACAAAATGTTAATATATTATGAAAAGTCATTCAAAATATTCAATGTCATAAATAACATTAACTTGTTTTTTCTACAATATTTAATATTTACTTTTCCAAAAACTATTTATATTTAACTGTTATTTTTTAAAATAATACTCATTACTCTTTTATTAATTGTCTTTTTACTTTTTATTAAATACTTCATTAATTTATATAAATATATTTACTTATAACGTAAAAAAATATTATATTTTATATGAAGAAAGTCGTTATTTTTTTTATTTTCTTCAAAAGTATTATAAAAAACAAAAATATATAATATCAATAACATATCTATACTTTAATCATACTTTAATTTAATATTTGATAATATTTTAAATATATAATATTAAAATATTATAACACTAATAATAGAATTGAACGTTTTATTTGAATAAATTATTGAAAATAATTAAGTACATTAAAATTTACTAATAGTTTTATATTCTATATTAAATATCCTGAATAAAAATAACTATAGTGATAATATAACTAAAATCAAACATTAATTAAAATTTAAACATCTCTAGAAAAGTATATTTAAATTATGCAAAATTAACTAATATTTTGAAAAAGTAATTAGTTCTTGATGGGAATATTTTTTATTTCAAATGTGGATAATATTGTGCTATTATACTCTTTTTTCATAATGGTTTATTTTACTTATTTATTCATAAACAAAGTATTTTTCATAAGCGCGTATTTGGTTATATATTCATAAATAAATCATGCAATATTTTAAGAACTTTAATACAGCCAATTGACCTCCCATCTCACTTTGACCACAAGTTTATTATTTACTGTGTTATGCAAGTTTATTAGAGAGATAGCATCACTCATACAAAACAATTTCCAATTGAATCGGTCATAAGGTGAGATTTTTAAAAGTTTAAAATGAAGGATCTGAAGACATTCAGAAATATTAGAGAGAGATGATAATCAGGACCCAACAAATGAAATGCTACCAGCAATAAAGAATAAAAACATATTAAAATCATAGTTACAAATTAAAAACCAACCTTTTAGATAATGAAAAGGATTTTGTAACATCAGACATTTGACAGAACTCAGCATTCCAGAAGATTTCAACAAATACAAAAACTTTCAATTGGCAACATTTGACAGAACATAGTGTGTTTCAGAAGATTTCAACAAACACAAAAGCTTTCAACTGGCAATATTTGACACAGCTTCTTCTGACAATGCAGAATGACTACGCCAATCATCTTGTGATTACTACCATATGATCAAATGCATCATCAAATACAAATCCGAAGTGAAATATGTTAAAAAATAAAATTAAAAAAATGCATGCTTTCATCTTCCAAAAAGTCACAATATTGAAACGTTTCAAAAAACACATTGTTACAGCCATTATACTTGAAATTTAGGATTTCGAAACCAATATTTTGCAGCAGTTCAAAAACATAGAAAATCAAACATTTCATGAAAACACATTTAGATATCAACCCGTAAAAAAAAAAACTAAGGTGTGCAATTCAGCAACAACAATGGCGCAATTGAAAAACACAGTGTCTAACCTTTACAAAGTCCATATGAGAAACAGACGTCATACCATTCCAAATCCCATGCAACAAAAAAATGAATAACGTATCAATGACTAGATCGATGTTGAAAGGTAACAATAAATTATTTAAAATTTCAACAATCTTTCTTGAAGAGTAAGAGCATCCGCTATACACATAATCACTAACTGAGAAACTAGCTACAACTACAGGGCACAATGATAAAAAACTACAAAACAGAAAGACAAAAAAAGATCTAAATTCAGAAGCGGTTCAACAAAATTAAAACCCAATTTAAGAGTCGTCGTCGGCACCAGCACCCTTGGATGAGCCACCAGCCTTCTTCGGAAGCAAAAGGTTGTGAATGTTGGGCATAACACCACCGTTAGCTATGGTGACATCTCCAAGAAGCTTGCTCAACTCTTCGTCATTCCTCACCGCCAATTGAATGTGACGAGGCACAATTCGAGTCTTCTTGTTGTCTCTCGCAGCATTTCCAGCCAACTCGAGAACCTGAAAAGAAAACCAGAGAAATAACAAATCGTTAAGGCAACAGAAAAAAAACAATTGCTTGCGGATTCAATTGTTAAAAATTGATGATACTCGCTATGATAGAAAAAAATTAAAAGAATCAAAATTCAAAACCCTAGATCTATCCAGATGGGAAAATCAATTCGAAATCAATTTAGACAAGGACAAGGAATTACCTCAGCGGCGAGATATTCAAGGACAGCGGCCAGATAGACAGGAGCACCCGCACCGACACGCTCGGCGTACTTTCCGGCTTTGAGGAAACGAGCAATACGGCCGACGGGGAATTGCAGACCGGCTTTGCTGCTCCGGGAGGTGGCCTTCTTGGCGGCGCTAGATCCTAGGGTTTTTCCTCGACCTGCCATTGATGAACCGTAACCTAATAGCGAGAGAAGATTTGGGAACAGGAAGGGTGAACAACAATAAGCTCCGATGACTGAGAGAGAAGAAATTGTATTTCTACACTTTGAGCGGTTGAGAGGTTTATATAATACAATATGTGGAAACTGGACCAATGACAGTGAAGGACGCGGATCGATAACGATTGCCGTTGGATTGCTTTGATTATGGACGGTTCTGATCATGTATGTGGTTGCATTGAAGGATGGATATCAATTTAGCGAATATACAGGACTGGATGGTCATCGTCCCCATATGAGATCAATAAGTTGGTCTTTGGTCCTTATGAATTTTTTTTTTTAACTAATTTAAATTGAAAAGAAATAGACATCAAACTAATTTCAAGACAAAACTATCATGATTGAAGATTTCTCTTGGATAATTTTTAGGTTAAAATTTTATTGTGCAAATTATTGGATTCTTATTATAATTGTAAAATGAAGTGAAATATATACAGGTAATTGTAATTAAATTTTATCTTTTGATTTTGTATGTATGGGATATTAGTATTTGAGGAATAAATTGAAATTTTATGAAGGTATTATAAGAATCTAAATTAATTTGATAGCATATAATAAAAACAAAGATCCTTGTTAACCCAAATTGTTATCCATGCCAACATCATGTTTTATTCAATTATAAGAGACCATTTCACAAAGGGTCACAGTTGACATGTAAAAAAACATCTAATAGTCCTCATCAACATCAAAACCCCTTGAGGTCCCACCCTTTTTGGGCAGCAACAAGTTGTGAATGTTAGGCATCACACCACCATTGGCAATGGTCACATCACCCAGAAGCTTGCTCAACTCTTCATCATTCCTAACTGCCAATTGGATATGACGAGGCATAATTCGAGTCTTCTTGTTGTCGATAGCAGCATTTCCTGCCAGCTCCAAAACCTAAACATGCAAAATATAAAATACAACCTCCAAAAACACAATTAATAGAATATTAAAGAAATTTCATCATTCCAAATATGCAATCTTTAAGCATAAATATTCATTAAAATTGAAGTCGATTAAGGTAAATTACCTCAGCAGCTAGATACTCAAGAACAGACGCGAGATACACAGGCGCACCAGAACCGATACGCTCAGCATATTTGCCTGTCTTGAGATATCGAGCAACACGACCAACAGGAAATTGGAGACCAGCTTTGGTACTCTTTGAGGTAGCAGGTTTGGCAGTGTTGGATCCTTGGATTTTGGCTCCACTTGCCATTGAGTACCAAAAAGGTGAGAAAGTCTCAATGGTAAGGAGATGAATAAATAGAGGAGATATGAACATGTCTAAGCATTTGGTAGGTTTATATAATAACTATCCTCAAATTTAACCAATAAAATAAAATGACACGGATCGATTACGTGTCCGATTGGATCATATTATAATTAATCAATAAAATAAAATGACACGGATTAACTATGTATTCTTATATCATATTATAATGAACCAATCAAATAAAATGACACAGATCGATTACGTGTATCACTGGATCAGTTATAATTAATCAATAAAATAAAATGAAACGGATTGATTGACTATATGTATAGTTTGATCATATTATAGTTAACCAATCAAATAAGATGACATAGATCAATTACGTGTATCACTGGATCAGTTATAATTAATCAATAAAATATAATGACACGGATTGACTATATGTATTGTTGGATCAGATTATAATTAACCAATCAAATAAAATGACACAGATCAACTTTCAGATTACAATGAATCAATCAAATACAATGACACAGATCCATTATGTATACCTTTATATTAGATTATAATGAACCCGTTAAATAGAATGACACGGATCAACTATGTATATAGTTGGATTAGATTATAATGAACTTGCTGAAAGTCCAACATCGTCTACCTCATGTCATTTGGTAGTTTAAATACATGTTAGGTTACTCCACATATTGCCAATTGGTTTTATGTTGGAACCTTAACATGGTATCAGAGTCAAAGCCTAACATCTTTCCGGTTAATGTCATGGGCCAAAAGTTGCCATTTAGTTGGGTCAAAAGTACCCTTTGCCATTTAGTTGGGTCAAAAGTACCATTTGTCTAGTCCGGCAGACTTCGTTGGAGGGGGCGTGTTGAAAGTCCCACATCGCCTACCTCATGTCATTTTGTATGGTTTAAATACATGTTAGGCTACTCCACATATTGTCAATTGGTTTTATGTTGGAACCTTAACAGAACTAATAAAAATAAAATGACAGGGATCAATTATGTGTATCACTGGATCATGTTATACTAAATCAATAAAATAGAATGACACGGATTGACTGTGTACTATTAGATCAAACTATAATTAACCAATCAAATAAAATGATACGAATCGAGTATCAGATTATAATGAACCAATAAAATAGAATGACATGGATCGTCTATATGTATCGTTACGTATATAGAATGACACAGATCCATTACGTGTATTGTTAGATCATGTTATAATGAATCAATAAAATAGAATAATACGGATCGATTATGTGTATTATTGAATCAAATTATAATGAACCAACTAAAATGACACGAATAAACTATTAGGTTAAAATAAACCATTAAAATAGAATGAAACATATTCATTATGTGTATTGTTAGATCAAGTTATACTTGAATTAGTGAAATAAAATAGTTAAATCAGATTATACTTAAAATAATAAAATAAAATGACACCGATGAAATTATATGCTTTGTTAGATAGCCAATCAAATAAAATAAAAGAAATTGACTACATATATCTCACCTATAGTTAATTTAAATTAGTTTAAATAATAATTATTAATATACTCAATATATATTTATTTTACATTAATATTATTATGAAAATAATTTTTTCAGACAATATTAGATTTTTAATTTGGTTGAATTTGAGAAAAATAATTTCTACTTTTACCTATAATGGAGGAATATAATAATATATTTCATGTGAGTTGATAATTTTTAATTTAATTAAATTTATAATTTTTGAATTGTCACATCTAAATCAACTTATTAGAAATATTTTTTTATTATTATCATTTCATTAATTTAAAGAAAAGACTTTTAGGGCTATACATTGTCTTAACATACACCCTTAAGTTACAAAGATAAAAAAAAATGTTACATCCATTAATTTAATACTTTCAAATGTTATTTAATTAAAACATAAAACCAATTTGCTTAAAATTATTATTATGTTCAATTTTGTACATTTTAATTTAGATAAAAATTACATAGACAAGTTATCTCAACTGGCATATTTAAAAGTTAGAATTGAAAGGATGTCGGGTAGAAGTAATCAAATACATGTATTCAAATGTTATTTAATTAAAACATAATATATTTTTTTATAATTATAGTATATTTGTTAAAAGTATTATTATTATGAAAAATTAGATTAAATGAAATCTTATTTTATTATTTTAATACATAGAGATCCTACAAGATATATATAAGAGACCTAAGCTATTTTAGGAAATATAATAGTTTTATTTTATTCTAGGATTCCTTGATTTATGGGATTGTTCCTAATTGTTCAAATCTGTACAGATTACAAATTTTCTAATTTATTATTTCCTAAAATACTATTTGATTTCCCACACTCCCCTTCAAGCTGGTGAATAGGTGTTTTTCATTCCCAACTTGGATACAATCTTCTCAAAATTGTGGCAGCTCAGTCCCTTGGTAAGAATGTATGCAATTTGGTCTTGAGAGGGCACATATGGAGTGTATATCAAGCCACTATCAAGTTTTTCTTTGATGAAGTGTTTGTTTACTTTAATATGCTTTGTTCTATCATGCTGCACTAGGTTGTGGGTTATGCTGATTGCTGACTTATTATCACAATAAAGCTTCATAGGTTCTTCCCATTTTATCCTCTAGTCTTCTGAGATGATTTTAAGTCATAATAACTCACATATACCTTGTGCCATGACTCATAATTATGCTTCAGCACTGGACCGAGCCACTACACCCTACTTTTTGCTTCTCCAAGTCACAAGATTTCCTCCAAGAAAGGTGCAATATCCTGTAGTTGACCTCCTAGGCAAGACCTTATAAGCCAAATGAAAAAAAATTGGACTCCCGAATAGTAAATAGTTATTTTATTGGTTATGCTAAAAGATCCAGGGGATATAAATTTTATGATCCCACATTAAAGACCATTTTTGAGACGAGAACTGCTACGTTCTTTGAGGATATTGAGTTTGGAAGAGAAGAATAAGATTAAGAACTTTATCTTGGAGGAAGAATCGGTAACAATTTCAGAACCGATTCAAATAATTATTTTTGATAAAGTAAGTTCGGAACCTCCACAAGGCATTTATGATGAACCCCTTACTCAAGATGATTTGTTTGTTTATGAAGAACAAACTCAAGATCCTCAAGAACCTGTGCATCATGAGCCAATAACTTTACAGAGATCCACTAGAGAAAGAAGAAGTGCTATTTCGAATAATTACTTGGTATTTCTTCAGGAACATGAGGAAAACAATGATATGATGGAAGATGACCCAGTTAACTTCCGTCAAGCTATACAAAGTGGATTGAAGCAATAAAGGAGGAATATAAGTCCATGCAAGACAACAAGGTTTGGAAACTTGTCCCATTACTAGAAGGTATGAAACCCATTGGTTGCAATTGGATATTTAAGACCAAACGGGATTCTAAAAGTAATGTGGAAATGTATAAGGTTCGTCTGGTAGCTAAAGGCTATACCCAAAAGGAAGGGATTGACTTTAAAGAAACTTTCTCTCCAGTTTCATCGAAAGACTCTGTTAGGATAATCATGGCTCTTGTAGCACATTATGATTTGGAGTATCATCAAATGGATGTCAAGACGGTGTTTCTCAATAACAACATTGATGAGACGATTTATATGGTACAACCAGAAAATTTTGTGCAGGGAGATCCAAAGAATATGGTTTGCAAACTAACAAAATTCATTTATGGACTAAAATAAGCATCTCGTCAATGGTACTACAAATGTCATCAAGTAATTCTCTCATTTGGCTTCGAGATGAATATTGTTAATGATTGTGTGTATCACAAGTTTAAAGGGAGACAAATTTAGTCTTAATCAGTGCCCAAAGGGGAATTTGAAAATTGAAGAAATGCAAAAGATTCCCTATGCATCAGTTGTAGGGAGTTTGATATATGTCCAAGTATGTACACGTCCAGACATAGCATACATAGTTGAGATTCTAGGCAAATATTTAAGTAATCCAGGAATGGACCATTGGAAAGCAGCAAAAAGGATCATGAGATATTTAAAGAGAACAAAAGATTATATGCTCGCATACAGGAGGTCAGACCAATTTGAGATCGCTGGGTTTTCTGACTTGGACTTTGCAGGATGTCAAGATAGTTTGAAATCCACTTCAGGTTACATTTTCATATTGGCAGGTGGTGCAATTTCTTGGTGCAGTGTCAAGCAAACCCTTACAGTTTCATCCACTATGGGAGCAAAATTTGTAGCATGCTATGAGGCATCAAATCATGGAATATGGCTGAGAAATTTTGTCATAAGGCTGCAAATTGCGAAAGATATTGAAAGACCACTTAAGTTATATTGTGACAACATATCAGCTGTATTATTAAGGAAAGAGTATAGAGTGGACAGATTTTCATAGAACACTTAGGGACAAACTCCATGTTAATAGATCCTCTAACTAAAGGACTTCCGCCCAAGGTCTTTCATGAGCATGTTGCTCACATGGGTGTTTTACAGTTTGATGAATTTGTGGTTTAGTGGGAGTTAGTCACTTTCATATATTTTATGTTCTATGTTTAATTTCATGTATGTATACATTAATTATTATTTTTTTGGACATATTTGGTTATCTATAGATATGCGGTTTTTCTTTCATTCATTACACTTTGTACATTAAGGTTATTATATCGATCTCGATAAGTTAAAGTTTGGACCAGTTGAAAATAGACGTGTACAGATCACCTTCGCGTAATTTTTCATGCTACACATTTCATGATGAATCCATGTCATTTGGTTATGTCAGGATGAATAATCATTGTTGGTTTTAGTTGCGATGATGCAATGAAATGCTGGTTTGGTTCTATATCCTGATATGATTAATAGACAAGACTTTTGGAGTATGTTAAAGGAATATAATGACAATTTTGAGCTCATAAAGTCTAACACATTTGTAAGATTGTAAGGACATATATATTTGTGACCAGTGGGAGATTGTTGGCAAAATTTGGTCATGTATATAT